CACCCCATGAATGAAGGTCAGAGGGCAACTTTGTGGAGTTGCTCTCCTCCTTCCCTTATGTGGGGTTCAGAGACAGGATGCTGGTTGCCAGGTGTGCACAGCAAGTACCTGCCCCTGCTGAGCCATCTTCCTCGCTCCTCATCTCTTTATATCTGGCTTTCCCCTCTATGCCTTCTGTCAGAATAGAGATTGGACCTGGAAAATGGACTGTGCCCTTACAGCAGGGCATCTCCACCAACGACAACGAGCTATAGGCATCAGCAATAGTCTTCAGTGGTTCCATTGGAAAGCGGCGCTCACTGAAGTCTAGAGCAAGGCTAGAGGCAGCCAGTGGGTGAGATCTCGTTGTTGTTCTAGTCTTTACCAGAGAGAAGAGGAACTTGGAGAAAACACAGCTGCCTCACATGGCAGCTGCACACGTCCCTCTCGTGTCTTTGCTTGCGTGGTCTGGGGATGGCTCTTGAGTTTCTATCATTTCCTCCTTTGTCAAGGCTGTCTATGAGCAGTTGCTGTGGCAAGGCCTGGAGCTGCCATGGTGATGAATAGGGACACAATGGGATTAAGATATGGTCTTGTTTGGGCCACAGGTACATTGTGTTAACTGTATGAGTCTCTTCCTCTCCTCTATGGCATTATGAAGTCATGAGGCCTTAGATCTCTGGCAGCTGAAGAAGATGCCTGCTATCACGCTTAAGGCCATCCTAGGAAGACTAAGAACCCAAGAACTGAGGAATGAGAATGACTGACCCTTAGGCTTTGGTCAACATTGCCACCCTCACCCCACTGGTCTTCCAGTGGCACTGACATTCTCCCTCTGGTTTCTTGCTAGTCCTCTGGTCTTACTTTGGAAATCTTTGGGGCTGGCTCTTTTTCAATCAGCCAGTTTCCAAACCTTGGTCTCAGTTCCTGGTTTTACTTCATCTCTAGTAGCTCTCTCCTTAGTGGCTTCATTCAGACAAATGTGTTTCAGTGCCTTCTCTATGCTGATGACCCCCCAAATTGCAGCTCAGTGTCAAAGTTTTCTCTTGAACTCAGTTACTGCCAGTCACCAACTCAACATTTCCTCTTTGCACATTGCATAGGTATTTTAAACCTAAAGGTCAGAGTTGCTTTTCTTCGTCCTTGCTTTATGTGGCTGTTTTCCTTATATCAGCAAAATGGCAATTCCATTCTTACATTGACTTGGAATATTCTTGACTTTTCTTTCTCATGTCCCACATTTTATCTTTGAGCAGATGACGTCATGTTGAATTCTGACCGTATAGCCTCCATTATTGCCAAGATAAGACACCATCATCTCCAGGGAGTCCCCTCTCTGCTAGCCCCTGCCCTGGAGGCCTCCATCTCATTATGCACATGGTGGCCATGGGGATCCTGTTAAATGCATACCCGACTCATCCCTTCTCAAAAGCTCCAGTGGCTGCTTTGCTTAGTTTCAGCTCAGATCCAGGTTCCCACATCAACAAATCACAGGATCTTCTCCCAGTTCCCCATGGCACTCCTCTCCACCACTTCCTGCCTCACCTCTGCCCCTGAAACCCAACTGCACGGGGGCTCTTTTCTGCTCTCAGACACACCAGCCATGCTCCTTCCTTTAACGTCACCCTTCCCTCTCCCTGGAATGATCCCTTCTCAAATAGCTGTGCATTCCGTTTTACTGTCAGATCTTTATTTAGATACTACCTTCTCAGAGGAGTATGGCATGACCACTTCATCTGACACCGCCACCTCTTGATAGTCACCACTCTGACATAATTTTAGACTATTCTCTACCCCTCCATTAGAACAGAACCTCTAGAAAGGCAGGGAGTTTTCACCACTTTGTTCATTGCTTTATCATCAGTGCCAACAACAGTGCCCGAGAGAGTTGACCTTTTACTTATGGCTGGCTGGCTGGTAAGAATAACCAGAGTCTGTTTATATAGAGTTAACTGTTTATATGTAGTTTTCTTAATTTTCTCTCATCTTTTAAGGGAAAGCCTCCCGACTAAATGCTTTCTCTCTGTTATCTTCCAACTTCTAATTCTTCCGCCTTTCATTGGCTTTGTATCTTCTCTTAGGAGAGTTGACTGATGGCTCCTGTCAGGTTTGCTCAGCTACTGCAGTAAGATTGTCCCCGAGTTGTCCCCCCCAATGCCACCAGCAACGCCTCCAAGTGACTTGTACTAGGGGACCGTGGTCTGTGCTGATAGGGATGCTAGCTGGGGCCCCAGCTCAGTTGGTAAAGTGCTTGTTATCCCAGTGACGAGGAAGTGGAGACAGGCCGATTCCCTACAGCTTTCTGGCTAACCATCTGGATCAGCTAGCCCTGGGTCCCAGTGAAAGACCCTATCCAAGAAAACAAGGTGGGTGGGCCCTAATGGATGATGTTTGAGGTTGAGCCCTGTTCTTCATATGCATGTCAAGGTGTGAGCATACATCCACACACAGGAACACACTTTTCAGTCATGTGTGCGCACACACGCACACAGTTTCTTGTTTATCTCTCACCCACAGTTTCCTGCACTTTATTCCACACACACACACACACACACACACACACACACACACACACACACACACCTTTGTGTGTGGAAAGAGCTGAAAAGATCTGGTAAACAAAAAAAAATCATGCAGTGTGTAATCTTTTAGATGTTTCAAAAACTAGAGCTACACTAACTAAATCACAAGGATTTCTCCCAATGTATTTGTTTCAAAGGTCAAATAAGGAAGTCCTAAAGAGAAGGACGTGGTTTCCAAGCCGCAGAATTGTCTTTTCTGCAAGTAAATATATATAAACAGTAAACCGTATATAAACATAGAATCCAGCTCATCTCTGTATCCACCCATGAGTAAACTAGAGTCTTCTCTCTTCGAGGTCTTCCTTGAAGTTCATAATCAAATCACATCCACTCCACGTTTACTGGGAATCCTGTGAACTCATTTCAGCTCTGTTCTCGAGTCCCACAATCCCCTTCATCATGGTTAACTACTTCCATTTCTTGCTTCTTTGGCTCATTGCCCCTGTGACCCACCCTCCCTTTCCAACATTTCCATTTATGTAGGATCTAGAACCCCACTCCAGTCTTCCTAGGACAGGGCTGGCCAGGGACAAGAAGCAATCTCCAAATGTTCCTCCAGCCATAAGAAAACAGTATGTGGGAGAGGTGAGTCTCTGGAGTCAAACCCTGCCAATGTTTCGGCTTCAGGAAACCTTGGCAGTGAACAGGTACTGGGCTCGCCTGTCATTAGAATCTGCTCCAATAGCAAGGTATGCTCCATGCTGGGAACTCTCTTTGGAACTCATTGGCCTAAGGGACAAGATGGAAGAGCAGCCTGCATTCTTGGAAGTTCTTATTTTAACAGGGAACAACATAATGATGCACCTCTGTGAAGAGCAACTGGCTTTGAAACACGTAGCAAATATTATCCATTTCTATAGGACGCATTCTAACAAAGTGTTTATCACGATTAATTCTGAGCAAAGGCAGGAAGAGAGCCAAGACATTAACGCCCTGTGAGCTCCTCTGTGACTCACAGGCAAAGTCACTTTTTTCCAATTCCACTCAAATGCCACCAAGTAATCAACTACCCTGCAGTTCCATCAACAGTGTAACAGAAGCCGCCATGCAGTTTTCCAGAAAAACCCTCGGCGGTATCATTGCTCATTGTAATACTCTAGCAAAGGCCGCATCTTCCAGTTTGCAAAACTACTTAGTGGAGCGTGAAGGCTTCCTTGGGTTATTAAATTACATCGTTACCAATCCCTCGCTGTTTATGTGTTTTAATTTTGTCTTTGTACCTTGAGCAGAGCTCTCAGGAAGGGAGCAGTTGATAGATTTATTGCGCCAGTCTTTGGAGCAGAGAGAGCAGAGTCTGCTAGTACCGATGACTATCTTTCTCCACCTGTTCTCATGCTGGCAGAACCTCTTCCTGAGTCCCTCCCTGTTGAGAGGCAGACTCTGCCTTGCTGTCCTCACCAGAATGGCTCTGTGTTCTAGGCGCCCAATGTCTGAGAAAATCTGTCTGTTTTTAAATCATGCTGCTTGAAAGGACAGAAATGCAACTATGGAAACATGGAAGATGCAAGACAAAAGCTGAGCACAGAACAGGAGGAATATTAGATAGATCCACAAAGATCAAGGTCACAGAAAACACCACAGTGAGAGCTAACCCGAAGCTTCTAAGACTCACCATGCATCACAACCTTTGGCTAACTCACCCTAAGGCTCCTTAGTTAGAGGGTTTGGGCAGGAGCCCAAGTCTTTGCATTTCTACTATGTTTCAGCTGCTGCCACTAGTGGAAGGGTCCCGCTTCAAAAGCTACTGAGCAAATCAGATTAAAGTTTCACTTTCCATGATTTGTTATCTTAAACTTTTACAGTCACCTGTTGGTCCCATTTTTTTTTTTTTTTTTTTTTATCCTGGTTGTAGGCTTTCTGGCAATCTGCCACAAGAAAGCCCAGAGGAAGTGATTTGGTTCCGTGTCTGTGTCTTTATCTAAATGGATTCTGTGGAAGTCCTCTTCATTTCCTCCAATGTTCCCAGAAGCATTTCCTCAGATCCTTGACTATAGCTTACCTACTCAATGAGAAATGTTGATTTCTGTAGAGAAATCTGAGGGGAACCTGGAAGGCCTCTGCCAGTGTGGAGAGAATCCTGCTCAGGGACACAGCCTCCCAAGCAGCTGGCTAGTGGAAACTGCTCCCAAAGAAAAACAGCAGGGTTCTTGCCCCTGCCTTAAGAGCCCACAGGGGAGGCAGGTCTCTCACTTTAGCACAAACCCAACCATATTTTCAGGTGGAAACTTCTAGATGGGATGTGAGGTCCTTCACACTGGTGGCACTGGTTCCCCCATCTGACTGACGCCTAGGAGTAGCAACTGACAGTAACCATTGAGAAGGATGTTCCCCGGAATCATCAGCTTTGGGCTAGAAAGAAAGGTTGGTGTGGGACATCTGCCCGCTCACTGCTCTCCCCGCCCCAGACCCCAGTCAAAGAGAGAGGACATGGCTGCTCACTGTTGCGGGGCTTCTCCTCGTCCATGCCCTCATCCTCGTTCTCGGGGTCGATGTCTTCTGCCTGTGTGATCCAGTCCAGGTAGCCTTTGAGATCTTCTTCAAGCTGCTGCTTCTCTCGAAGCTTCTGGAAATCCCCCCGGGCTTTGGCCTTCTCCCTCTCTTTGGAAAACTCTCTGGTTTGAGGGGTTGGGGAGTGGGCAGGGCAGTGTGCAAGGATCAGCCGGGAGGAAAGATGGAGAGAAGGGGAGACAAGGCAGCTGTTAATTGCTTTGTGCGGAGAACCCTGTCCAAGTCACCCCTTTTCTAGAGACAGCTATCTCCATCACCCAGTTCTGTCTTCACTCTCACAAGAAAGGGGAGCAGTGAGAGCATACTCGTGGCACAGGCCAGGAAAATCTAAGGGGATGAGGGCGCTTCACTCACTTTCTGGATCCTAACAGGCTTTGCCTGTAAATAACAGCTATTCTCCAAAGACAGGGACACCTCTCTCCAAAGAGTCATTCTAATGGCCCTTTACAGCAAGGAAACGTGTGTCACCCGGGAATAGGTGACACCTTTTAAGAGAAACGACAAAGCATCTTCAAATGCCACAGATTATTAGGACCCAGTGATGATAGAGACCACTTAATCGCACTGGGGTCTCAGAGCCAGTAATGCCTTTTCCTCCCAACTCTGGTTTCAGTGATGTCTCCTTGATAGTATGATAACAGCCAAGTTTGGAATATTTACATCATGAAAACCAGCCAGTGCAATTGATAAGAGTATTTCCCCACAGAAGGATGGCAAATATTTACCAATACCTCCCATTGTCTAGGCCGCCCCCCCCCCGCCCCCGCCCCGGCAGCTTTGATCTCAATCTAGGTTCCTATGGCTACAGTTCCCTCTACTGTTCTTAGCATGCCTGGAGGGAGTTTGAACCACACGGATACCTGTAAGGATTCCAAACACAAGAAAATGCCCTGGGGCCTGCCTTTTGGGTTAATGCAATCTGTCCAGGATAGAAAAATATGTAAAGTGAAGATGGCATTAAAGCTAGTGTAGCAGTTTAAAGCAATAGTCAGCAGACATTGTAGTTTGCAGGGACTTACAGGAAGTTCTTGATTGTCTGTGATGTGGTCCTTTTTTTTTTTCTAACTCTGATAAGGCTTGGAGCAGAAGCAACAACAGATGAGCTAGTTCTTAGCTGCTGCTGCAGGTCTGAGCCCCTGCCCGCTTGCCCCCCCCCCCCTGGCCACTATGGGGTCTGGGGTCGTTGGTGGGGAATGCATGTGAATTCTCTGGTGTCTTGAGTAATCCGTGGGCCATGGCTCCTGTGTCTGTTCTCAGGAAGCGCCTGATTCAGGACAGTAGGCTGTGGAAACCAACTCAACAGAACTTCTGCGCAAGGTCAGCGCTCTAGAGCACAGGAAGCTTGAAGGGAGTCATGTCACCAGCAAACCCCGGAGGACAAGAGGCTCAGGTAAGCCCAGCGTCATATGTGGGGGGCTCTGTCGCCACATACCACCTGACTAGTGTTTGCACTTTGCTTGTAGTATTTGGCAGAGCTCAGGCTTCAGCAATCACCATTGTGGTGAAATGGGGTTGAGGGCTGGGAGGAGCCTAGGGAATGTTTGAATTGGGAGAATTGGGGCTCACAAGTACCTCCGTAACGATGCTCTGGTTTGGATGGAATTTTCTTCCCAAATCTGATTGAGTCCAATTATAATTGGATTGAACTTGCTATTTCGTGGGCTTCCTGCCAACCAGTGGGTACTTTTATTTCCTTCCCAGGAAGCTGGAGGCCAGGGAAGAGGCACTGGATTGAGAGATCACAGTGAAGGTAGGAACTGGCTTGGCTCTGCTCATCCTGCTTTTGTTGTTGGGGTAGACATGGAAAGATGCCAGTCCTCCTCCCCCTTGCCTTCTTATCTTACATATGATGAAGCTCCCCCCCCCGCCCCCCACCTTGACCTTACTTCCTAGAGACAATAGATCCACAGTGCACCTCTCTCCTTATGTAAACAAACTTAAGAAATGCATCCCAGGACCCTCTCCTGCAATCTCTCTGCCTACACCCATATGCCTTTTTTTTTTTTTTCCCCCTTTCTCCTGGAGTGGGTTTGAGTGAGTTTCAAAGGGGTAAAGTTGCTAAGAAAGACCTTTAGCTCTCCTGGATGATTTCTCAGAGCTCAAGTTCTGGTTATAACACGCCCACTATCCTCCTTACAGAGCTAGAGCAGGCCCCGGGATTCAGCTGCCATTAGGAGGTGGGAACTCGCTGTCTGAACCTCCAGATCTGTGGGAAAATTAAACAGTCACAGGGAACAAAGAGGAAGAGGATACCTACAAGATTCTATGGGACTTGCCCGTTTTTTTGCTTCCGTAGAGGAAGGGCACACTGTAGCGGGAGGGCGGCAGATGTAGCCTGGGCAGCCAGGCAACATGGGGGGCTTTGATAGTACAACGGGCAGGGACGCAGCCACAGGGACTCCAGGCTGCACATGGTGGTGATTCCCAGGGGGCAGCCCCTGGTGTGCTTTCCTCTCCTGGACATCAGTGCCTGCTCTGCAGACTGAGCTAATGAAATTCTAGCCTGACAGGGTGTGCCCAGCTCAGGGGTCAGAGCCAGCAAGACAATCACAGACTACTGTGGGATTTGTCACAAGGTGGGCGGGAGTGCTTCTGTCACTAGCAACGGCCAAGATACAATATGGGAGAAGGGGTGGTCGATGCTCACTTACGGAGAGCACACAACAGGGTGTGGGGTGGGACTGCTTACTTCTGACCATCGGGTACTAGCAGATAAACACTGAGCAGATAAATAATAACTCTGCTATTTCTGGGTTTGCTAAAATTTGTTTGTAACTCCCAAATCAATACTAATGGCGCTTTAAACAACACTCATATATGGATATGCATGTAATGGCAAAAAAAAAAAAAAAAAAAAAAAAAAAAAAAAAAAAAAAAAAAAAAAAGAAAAAGAAAAGAAAAAGAAAACCAAAACATGTTACATGCTTCCTGCTGAGGTCAGAAAAAGTGAGGTGCTCTCCCCAACTCACTTCTCATAACATAAGCAAATGTCTTTATTTACGGTCAGTCTATTTAGTGCCATTTTTACTGTTGTAATTTTGGGCTTGTTGTTAGAGATTCCACTGTTTAAACGGCCCCAAGCCTAGCTCCACGGAGCGAGAACACTGTGACAGGTCTAGTGGAGAACATGTGTGTTTCATTGAGCTCACTCAGGCATGGGTTACAGTGCTGGCACTGTGGGTCTAACGTTAACAAATGGGTGCTAGCTACTAAATAAATCGTGTGCAGAAACACACCTGGGGCTATGTTTGCGTCGGTTGCCGATGTGACCAGGTGCTCATGAGCAGGGATCTAACTATGTACTTCGCTCTGGTGGCCCGGTGTTCACCGAAGCGTTGTGACTTGGGAGAACACATCCACTGAACGGTGAGAATCAACTCTGTGTGGCTGCCTCTCCTTTTCCTGCTAGGGCATGTAGCGGCCTCCTTCTGGGTCTGGATGTTCTGTTTTAACAGTCCACCCATCATGTCCCGGACGTATTTTTAGGCTGTCACTCTCCCACCCATCAGGGCTTCAGCCTTTTTAGGCAAGACATACTCCTGTCTCTTGATATGGAAAAGGATGGGACAGTTACCCACAGCTTCAGATGCAATTTTGAAAGTCTCCCAGTCACTGTTTTGATTCTAATAGGTCGGGGACTGGAATTTCTGGAGGAAAAAGCAATTCTAATCCAATTGTTGCCTGTACCGATGCCAGACCTGTGCCTTGCATAGGGTGGGTGTGCGGATCACTGCATAACACGGGACAACTTTTGACCAGAGTCCAAGAGCTGCATGTTTTTCACACTGTGTGTTCTGTGTAACCTCATCAGAATGAAGCCTTTAGATATAGGAGGGTTCCAGATATAAGATGCAGAACCCTGAGGTAACCAAAATCTTGGAATTTCTACTTTTACAATAGAAACTTTATGGGTTGCCAGCCCTACTCTGAGCAGAACATACCCGGCACACTTTAGCTTTTCCTTGCTGACAGAAGGACACAATTTGTGAGGATGAGTTACTTGGCTGAGCTGTGAAGGAGTATCATTCTTAATCGATGGATGTAGGGTTCACACCCCAACCCTTCTGTCACAGAAGATATCGCAGCTGTGCTTGCACTATTTCTGCTCTCAGGGCTCATCAAGCTCTGCAGTTTCCAGTCTTCCCACCGAACAACTGGCAGCATTCTCCAGCTTTTCCTTGGACCTTTCCTGTTCCCTGGCCATATCTGGAAGTATGTGGACTGCTTCTGCTACATTCCTTTTTCATCCCTCCATCCTTGTAGTGTCTGATTCTTATTCATGAACTCCCTCCCCCCCCACTTCTTCCTGTGAGAAGCTAGGGCGGGTGTATTGTGGAAATGACAGGAAGAGGCCATGCCTTGATGATGTTCTGGTGCAGACCTCCATCCTCTAAAATTTCCCACTTGAATGGATGCAGCTTCCTCATCTAAACCTTATTCTTTTTGTCTGTGAAATGGAAACACGAGTAGCATCCAGTTCATGGAGCTGTCATGAGCACTGAATAAATGAACATATGAGATATGCAGAGCATAGGCCATGACAGGGTATGGGGAAGACCGCTGATGTTGTCCTTGAGATAGTGCATTTCATGGGCTCTAAGTCTTTCTGAATATTCTGTATGGTTGGTCTAACTGAGGTCTAGCTGCTGAGTGGGTCCGCCTCCAATACTGTGGTTAACTATTACACTGTTGTCCTGATAAAGCAGGATGCCAACTTCAGACCATCACCAGTGTGGTCAACCAACTGGAACTTGTTTCTGGATTTGTCACCGAGCAGGTTAGAGGCAATACATTTAATAATAACTGGCCCTTGACAAAAAGCCAGAAGGTGTAGACAGCTGCTTGCAGATACCTCCATGGCTGGCCAGAGGGTCCATTGATGTTTCTGGAGCTGCTAGAAGCATGCTGTAACTTTGAGAATGCTCAGGTGCTAGAAGGCTCCAGAACAGACCAAACAAATTCTGGTCCACATGTGCAGAGGTTAAAGAGCCTCTATACTACTGGTTCCATACCAATTAAATGTTCTGGAAACCATTAAGGGTCAAAATTGTGGATTATGCAATTTATCCGCATTTGATCTACCAAGGTGTGGTTTCAAAATGACCTTTCTGTGACAGCATCAGCAGCTACTCCTTCAGCCTCTCTGACTCAACACCAGCAGGTTGGCTCTGGCTCTGGGAGATGGGGGTGATAATGACTGTGGGTGAAGAAGGGACCTCTGGAGTCTAGCACTCATTCTCCATTACTGGGTTCTTACAGGAATTTTACATGCTAAGATTTGGTTCCTAACATCTGAGAGGAAAAAAGGAAACTGAAGCTGGTTATTATCTATCTATCTATCTATCTATCTATCTATCTATCTATCTATCTATCTATCTATCTATCT